TTAGCATAAGTGGAAGTTAACTGTTTCAAATCAAAAGGTCAAATGACAAAACTAAATTTTCATATCTTTTCATGTGATACTTGTTGATTTCTCATATATATATATATATATATATTTAAAAATTATAAAATAAGTCTGTTATAACATCACTACAAAAATAGCCATTTTGTTTCCACACTTGTGGTGTCTTGTCAAGTGATGGTCTTGATTATAAAATAAAAACCTTTTAAAGAGTACAAAACCAACCACTACCCCCACTAGGGGGAATCTTTTTACTTTTATTTATTTTTACATTTTATTTATTTATTTTTATATTTTATATTTTTATTTTTATATTTTTACTTTTATTTATTTTTATATTTTTCCTATAGTATTTTTTTGGTTTCTGGAATTTATTCCATCTATACCAACCTTGTATTTGGGTATATATATATATAGTTGTTGATTCCTCATATATATATATATATATATATATATATATATATATAGTTGTTGATTCCTCATCTATATATATATATATATATATTGTTGTTGATTCCTTATATAAGGAATCAACAAATATATATAATACAGTTTTCCTATTGTTTTTTACCTTTATAAATGTTGTCTTTTTTTACAGGTTAACTCTGGGAAATTTTTCATATTTATCGACATGGAAAACAAAAACATACACAGATATAGAGTCAGAATATACATGCAAGAACTAACATCTGCCTATTCACATAAAAAAAAGAAAAACTTTCTTAGAAACTGCATTGATGAAAAAGTTATTCCTCAATGCTCATCAAATTGGTACACCATATTTTTCCTTTTTATGCCCATGATTTTTTAAATATTCAAGGAATTAGAAGAAAAAAGAAGCTATTCTTTACCATATATATATATATATATATATATATATATATATATATATAGAGAGAGAGAGAGAGAGAGAGAGAGAGATAGATAGATAGATATAGATAGATAATATTAATGGTCAATATATATATATATATATATATATATATATAAATTTCAAGAGAATAGAATCAGGTAGAGCTCAATGTCCAGGACAGAGCAAAAAATATTATATAAAACTCAAACACTAATATTCCATGTTTATAATTTATTACATTGGAAAGATCCAATACATCAGACCAAACAAAAGCTACAATTAATTTGTAGGTCTGATGGGTGGATTGGATCGTCCAATGTAATAAATATAACGTTTATATATATATATATATATTTATTAAAAGACATTTTATTTAATTTATTTTTTATAGATACAAGTATTTAAGCAAAATGCTCTGTTTATGATAAACAGGTTAAATAACATTTACCGGCCTGAATGTCGAGAAATTTTCATAGAAAATTCGTTCGTTCATGACGTTCGAACCTGCATCCTATACGGAACCGCCATATACGATCAATACATCAATTTACTGTTATAAACTACAAATCTTCCAAATCTCGTACATTCATAACTGCTCTGGCGTTCGAATGTAAACAAATGACGTCATATGTTAAGAAATGGACGAGGTCCGACAATTTATTTATTAAAAGACATTTTATTTATGTTTAACGTTGTTATTTTATATATATATTTAAGCAAAATGCTCTGTTTATGATAAACAGTATTAAATAACATTTATTATAGAGCATATTATGATGTCCAATATATTTATATAAATTCGACCTTGTCTGGTTCATGGTGGCCAGTCCAAGGCACGCCAGCGTATATGGCGGTTCCGTATATAGGATGCAATTCGAATCCTGTCTATGAACGAATATTTTCACTTCAGGCGGTAAATGTTATTTTGACATTTTGCTTAAATACTTGTATCTATAAAAAATAACAACGTTAAACTAAATTGTCTTCCATATATATATATATATATATATATATATTTGTTGATTCCTTGTATCACTTCTGAAAATATCTGACTCCACTTGCCATACTTTGTCTTTACAAAAGTCAGGTCAGATCTAAAATCATGATTGAGCTGCTCAATCCTGACTTTCCAGCCTTGACAGATTTTAAAAGCATCTATGTACTCTTGTGAGTGATTATTTCCCACCCTAGAACCTCTTTCCCACAAATGAAAGGTAACAATCTTCTTAATACTATTTCTATTTCCATTGCAAATGTCCTGACAATTTCTGTTCCTTAGTTTCACCAGTTCAGACCTTAACAGCTGAAACCCACAATGTCAGGTACACTGGATCGAATCATGCTAATTCTTTTCATATTCATTGGTAAGAACAAAGTTTCATTTGAACGTCTTCTTCCCAAGAAGCATTACATTGTAAAACAAACTTCTAAGATGATGCTTCTCTGATTACTACAATCATAGTGTCTTTAGGCTTGGGTCAACTGTTATGCAGAATATGTAGAAGTTAACTGTTTCAAATCAAAGATCAAATGACAAAAATAAACACACCATGCAAAGGCTCTGTGCAAAGACTCCACGCAAAGGCTCTGTGCAGCCTTCCTTTTTCAAACATATTTCAAATTAATAAAAATAAAGAATAACCAATCAAATCAGCTCTGACCAATAAATAAACATAGGCTTCTGTTGCCTACATGAAGGTATGTAAACCAGACATCCATTCAACTCAGCAGAAAGACTGATAGTAGTAAAGAGGCAGAAGTCCACCTCATTGTCTTGTCTTTCCCGCCAAAGCAACAGCAGATTCCCTTTGATCTTGTCTTCCAACTTCATTTCCTCACTGAAAGAGTGTCACATCCACCAATATAATTATTGGTGAATTATCTCCCTTGCTTAAAAAAAAACTAATTAAAATGTATACCTTTCTTGCTAATGTACTATCAGGTTAATTCCTCTTACTTTTCAAAACTGTTCCTCGGGGACTCTCTCCAGCATTATAAATATTCTGTGATAATTTTTTATCACATTTTTCTTTTTTTTTTCTGCTTATATGACAACATGTAAATCTCTCACGAAAAATCACATTCCCTTTTTGGGAAACACATGAACAATACACATACACACACATACATACGCACATTCATTCACTTCATATACTTTAGACCAAAAAGTTTCCACATTTATTTGTTACACACACATCATTGTCTTTGTCAGTTGTAACCCTTTTGTTGTTAATTCATTATCATTTGTTTGTACATATATATATATATATATATATATATATATATATATATTATGATAAACGTGCAATCAATTTACAAATACATGAATTATTCACACAAAAACTAATGCAAAGGTTAATGATTTAAATGGCGAGACATCCATCATCGCAAACAATTCAAATAATATACAAAAACCTCCATTATCCGTTATGAATGAAATGATCCTTGTTTATATAAATTTCTGCCGTATTAGTTCTTATTTTTTACTACAAGCTTTCGTCTGTTCCTACAGACATCTTCAGGTATAGAATAGATGTTGTTCTTGTTTTTTTCTCTTAGTAATAAGAGGACAACAAAAATATATGTATTGTTGTATCCGAAAATGCTATTGAAAATGAGTTACTGTTTTTGAGAGCGCCGCTAAAAGCAACGCTTGAGTTTGATTTTAAATTTTTTAAAGGTTGTGCGTTCATATATGGTGATGAACGAATTTTTTACTGGTAAATTTTTCTGTCAAAGTGTCCAATAATTACAGTAATGTCGCACTTATTATCCAAAAGTCGCACTTGGATCAGTTATTTAAATTACGATAAACGTGCAATCAATTTACAAATACATGAATTATTCACACTAAAACTAATGCAAAGGTTAATGATTTAAATGGTGAGACATCCATCATCGCAAACAATTCAAATAATATACAAAAACCTCCGTATCCGTATACTGTAATTATTGAACAATATAGTTCATGCCACTTTGACAGTAAGAGAAAAAACAAGAACAACATCTATTCTATACCTGAAGATGTCTGTTGGAACAGACGAAAGCTTGTAGTAAAAATAAGAACTAATACGGCAGAAATTTATATAAACAAGGATCATTTCATTCATAACGGATACGGAGGTTTTTGTATATTATTTGAATTGTTTGTGAAGATGGATGTCTCGCCATTTAAATCATTAACCTTTGTATTAGTTTTTGTGTGAATAATTCATGTATATATATATATATGTATGTATGTATGTATGTATATATCAGTTCTTGTTGTTTCTTTACATTTCTTTATGTGGACTCACATCCCAAGTCGGTCATGTTTGTTGTGGGTATTTCAGGAGACACACATGTTTATCTCTCAACGCGTACACTGGCCCACAACAAATGTATTTATGTTCATTTCCTTTTCAGTCAGAGAGAAGAACTTTCTAAATACAAACTTTTATTTTGTGACAGTAGTTACAGTTAAGAATTTTTATATTTCACATTAAATCATCATTTTATTTGAACATGCAGCAACCCTTTCTCTCATTTTTTTTATTCAATAAATATTGATACATGGAATTTTACCCCAACAAGTGCATTATCTGGTATGATCAGCAGTTTAAACAAATCCTCAATCCCAATGACTAGTGACTTTGTGCTAGTACAATCATCAACAACTTCTGAACTGTTCCATCTACTCAATTTCACTCACAAGTCTTGAGTCAACCTGTGGCATGATTTTCAGGAACTTTCCACAGGTGCCACATGCAGAAGAAATCTCCTCCTCCACCTTCCTGAGAAATTGACTCAAAGGTGAGATTCAAATCAGGCCGTCACAGCTTGAAAGCAAATGTTCTAACTACTTGGACATATGCCTACATTGGGTTGGTTGATTTTGTTTAGTGGCATATCAACAACTCTATGGGTTATTTAATGCCAAAATCTAAATATTTTGTACACAATTCTATTTTATCTTTGGACATTATAATGGTTTTAGTGATACAAGTCCTACTAATTAATCCATAGCTGGGGAAAGAAGAGATGGATTCATACCTTTCCCAAGGTATTTGTACTTAAATTAATATAACAAACCCAAACAATTAACAATTCTGAGCTGTTATCCATTACACCACCTGCACATAGAAGCTTACATTACCTGGTATTTGCAAGTGGTCACCCATCTAGGTACTAGCCAGTCTCAACGTTGCTTAACTTTGATGAACGTACAGGAATCAGTGTTTCAACATGATATGGCTGTAAGCCCTCCATATTGGGATAGTGATAGTCTTGTATAAATAATAATATACTAACTCTGTCCCATAATAACGACCACATTTAGGCTATAAAACATACATGCAAATGTAACAACTATTATGGGACAGAGCGAGTTGAATAAAACTAATTTATTTTTCAAGTGCTTTTCAACTCATATTTATTTCGATTTGTAGCAGGTTAAGGGGAGGGAACTTTGGTCATGTAAAAATATTCAGCTCATCCACAAAGAAAAAGGAAAAGAAATGAAGAAAGTAGATAAAGTATGAATCCAAAATGTTTTGTTTTTTGTTTTTTTATTCCCGTCTCTATAAAGACAGTTTATATCAATGATTCCCAACATGAGGCATATGCCCCACTGGTGGAGCATGGTAATATTTTGGTGAGGCATGTAAATAATGTACATAATACCTCATCTCAGAAATATAGATAGATCCGGATCTTGTTTATAAAATGAGAGGGCTGTTGATCTCCCGATTGACTGCAGAGTGTTGAAAGAATGTCGGACTTTATTGATTTGGCACTTGACATCTTTATCTGTCCCCCTCATCTTTACTGACAACACATCCCAGGTAGACAAACTTATCGACTTCCTTGATGTCTTCTTGATGTAGTTGCACTGGGTCTTGTTGTTTGCCCTCATCATCTCCATCTTCCTCATGTTGATTTGAGGGCAGTCTTCTCTGCTTCTTCTGCAACACAACTCAGCTTCTCCTGCGCATAATGGAAAGTATTAATAATTTCCAATAAAAAGAGTTTTTTATTTTGTCTGAAATTAGTTAATAGAATATATTCTAATAATGTGTTTGCTATAATTTGAATTTATCTAATTTCTTCCTTTTACCAAATCTTAATCTATATGGATTTTTAATATTTTTCTTCACAAGCACAGAAAATTTCTTTCATGAAACTTTATCAATTATTATTCATTTTTTACTAGTTTTTTTTATCATATTTTTCCTTTTATTACTATTTTTATACTATTCAAATTTCTTATCAATTATTATTAATTGGAAATCAGCTTTGTTCAGACATTCATGGTGCATTTTTCATGGGTCAGTTAAATGTGTAAAAACCCTGAGTAGAAAGGAGAATAATAATTATTTTATTAGGAGAACAAGTATATATAATAAGACTATTAGGAGAATAATAATTAATTTGGAAACAACAACAATATAACACTAGTACTGTATCTTAATCTCTGGAGCCAATCAATAATTTTCAATATCATTTTTATTTCCAGTGCCTCAAAATTAGCTAACATTTGCTATTTTGGTTTTTGAAGCTTTCACATTGTAGACTAGTTTAATTATCTCCTTCATCTTAATTTCAGCTACTTTTTATTGCAATGTCCTTGTCTTTTTAATAAGCTGCATGGACTAGCAATAAAGACGTCCCTAGTTAATTCATATCTTTATCTTATAATTAACAATGCTTTTGCCTAAGAAATTTTAATAATATTATTTCCAATAACATGAAAGCTGCTTTTTTTTTGACAATATATTTAGATTGTCTAAAAATACAAAGTTTAAAATCTTGAAACAATCTCTGAAAATAAATCAGTTGTTAAATTCACATACAAAGTTAACGTTCTGAACTGAACCCCACTTTTTAGACATCCTAGTTGATTTGAATAATGATAACTTTAAAACCTATGTTTATAAAAAGAGCAACCAACTGAAACCCATGCCAACTCAACAACAATAGCAAATGCCCACACAGATACAAAATAGCCATCATAATTAACTTAATAAACAGAACATATTTAATATCTTTTACACACACAATATTTTATAACAATGAACGCAAAAATATAAAACAAACATTAATTAACAATGATTTCCCAATACATGCTTTTTTTTTTGACACAGATTTTCTCATCCTTTTTCTCTTGCTGTCTATTCCAGTCATATTAGTTGTAATGTTATTTAAATCTCTTAGATGATATATTGTCAATTATTTTTCATTTTTGACTAGTATTTATTTCATTTCATTCTTCTTGTGTTGTCTATACCTCCAACACAATTAGAATTCTCTATGTCAACCTTAGAAAAGTTAATTACAAAAAAATATCCTAAACCAACAATTTACACCAGTTATATAAATAAATTTTTATCTAAAAATGCAACAAAGTTAAAAATATGGAAGCAGTCTTTAAAAATTATTTGTTTTTTAATATTACATATGAACTTAATATCCATAACAGAGGTCCCATTTTTTAATGTTCTAATCAATTTAATTGATGATAAATTTAAAACCTTCAAACTGAAATGAAAAATATTAAACAAACATTAACAATAATTTCTTTAACTATATAATAGAGGTTCAGAGGTACTTCAACATGGTGTAATGGTTAACAAGTTTATCTTGTTAGATCAATTACAACTGAGTAGTGAGTTCAATTCTAACTAGGTTTGGTTTGTTTTACAGCATATCAACACCTCAATGGGTTATTTAATGCTGACAAAATTTTTACTGCTGATAATATTTTTTCAAAAAAAGTATTGCTGGTAAATTTTTTTTTCAAAATTGTATTGCTGGTTATATTTTTTTTCCAAAATTGTATTGCTGGTAATATTTTTTCCAAAAATGTATTGCTGGCAATATTTTTTCTCAAAAATGTACTGCTGGTAATATTTTTTTTTCCTATATGTATTGCTAGTAACATTTTTTCCAAAAATGTATTGCTGGCAATAATTTTTTCTTCATAAATTCATTGCTGGTAATAATTTTTTACAAAAATGTATTGCTGGAACTAAAATCTATTTTTACACTTTCATAATGTTTTGACCCCACTTTTGGGGTTAACTATTTGTTCATAGCTGGGACCCTAACAGGTGCTACCACCCTGGGTCAAGGTGGACCTGAGAACACCAGCAATTAAGAGGTGGTTCCATGCTCCTCAAAACCTCCTGATCAGAGGCCTTGCTGTTGGATGTAGTTTATCATCTTACCCAGGACACAGATGTAGTTTATCAACTTACCCAGGATCAGTTCTCACAAGGCGCTCCATACATGTGGCTTTGTACGACATCTAAATTATGCTTAGAAAATCACTATATTTGGGCACAAATATACATTAGTAAGCTTGTCTCACTAGATCAATTACGACTGAGTAGTGAGTTCAATCATCACTGGGTGCTCCATATTTTCGGCCTTGTGCCACATCTAAGCTATGCTTAATAAATCACTATCATAGATGTTCAGATTCTCCCAGAAACTAAAAACACAATCCTCCAAACCATTGATCTTCAAATTTGTGTAAATGAAAAAAAAAAGAATATATATATATATATATATATATATATATATATATATATATATATATATATATATATATATATATATTTGGTTGGATTGATGTGAGTTTGTGACCCTGGCTTTCACGCTTCTGTGATCGTCAGACAAACTGATTAATTTTTTAAAATTTTGGGTTTATTGGTGTTATTATGGAAGTGGGGAGGGAATCGGCATTGTGATGTCATCATGCTAACACAAACATAGATGCATGTCCGTACACCCATTGAGGTACGCAGACACGCATACACACTCGCTCGTCTGCCGGGGCTCATACAGATATAAACATATGTGGACAGTATGGGATTTGACATATGTATGTATATGGATGATGTTGTGTCTATACATACGCATTTGTATGTTGAAATTCAAAGATTGGAAGTGTAGCAAAAATTTCTCGTGAATGTCTCATGAATGTATACATGTCAGCAATCAGAGCATTCTTCTATTTTTCCTCGCATACATGTATATATGTGTGGTGGGATCTGTGTAAAATTATGATAGGTAAAAAGTACGCATATAATATATAAATAATTATATATATATATATATATATATATATATATATATATATATATATATATATATTTATATTTATATACACATTTTTCACATATATATATATATATATATATATATATGTGCAAACATAGAAAAAGGAGGAAAAACATGTTAAGTAATTAATGCAGTTCTTTAGTATTTTTGTTTTTATTTTTAAAAACAGTGCTCAATACAAAAGTAGAGCCTAAATTATAATTATTTTTTATAATTATTTTTATAATTATTTTTAAAAAATATCATTCCTTCACATATTTTTAAAAAATATATCGTATTTTTAAAAAAAATTATAAATATATATATATATATATATATATATATATATATATGCACATGAATGCATATGTGTAATTATTTGATAAAGGTTATTATTTTATAAGCAAACCCTTCTCAAGCACATCCAATGATTATATACCTTTCCATTTGGACTATATACTATTCAGTCATCTGCCATACTCAGCAACCTTCTCAGAATTTTAAACCTAACACTTTATTCAATCTCTGAGGATTGATTATTCCCAATACATTCTTTGGGGATATTTCACATCTGTTAATGTTCCCTTGCCTGTTTGCATTTGTGTCACTTTTCTGTCTCTTAACTACTTAACTAGTGTATATGATTTTTTCATACTACCTGAGCTTGGGATTGAATTAAAAACTTCCAGGAAACCACTATGCTTAATTCTGCTGGGCTATGTATCTCTTAGACAATCTCGTAGTGGAATTTTGCAGCCTTAAACCTAATATTTGCTCTCAGGTGGTAGAATGTTTGATTGAACTTTCTTAATCAGAGCCTCTCAGATGGTGTTCATCTCTGTGCTAGGTCTACTGGGGAGGTTGTTAGAACCTAACATGTTTGCTGACTCTTTCAGTCATCTTATCTTTCAGTTTTCTTTTCTATGATCTTGACTCTATTCCACAAAAAATGATAACCACTCTTTTCTCTCCATACTTGATAATCCATGCTTGATTTCCATATCCTTAAACTATAAACATATTCATACATATTCTTGAGTTTCAAACAAAAGGGATGGTTGGAATAAAAAGGGTGTTTGGGATTTTTAATAATTTTCAGTAATGAAACCCTTTACTCACAGCCTTAATTAAGAGGTGGGAAGGAATTCCCTGCATAT